ATGTCAGTCTCCGGCTTAGACAAGGGTGCAGTGGAGAGGAGACTGGAGGGAATTGAAGCCTTTAAGAGATGTATTTGGAAGACTGAAATAACAGGCCATATATTTCAGGGGTATATGGTCTGATGCTTAGGAGAGTGACCTGACCAGTTTTATAGGTTGGGAACCATATGCATGTGGGACATAAGTAAAGTTATGAATGTGGATATTGTGTCAAAGTAAGAGTGATGTAGAGGCAGAAAAAGGCCCGGGGGAGAAACTTGAGACTCCAACTCTTAAAAGCTAGTTAAGCAGAAGAGGGGCCAGCAACGACAACCGAGGGGCAAGGACAGCTGATGAAACACCAACCAACCAGTGAACCAACCAACCAGCCTCAGGGCCAAATAATGCGATGGAAGCTAAGGGAGAGTTTTGAAGAGAAGGGAACTGTCAGGGGTCAAACACCCCCGAGAGTCGGGTAGCAGGAGGGACAGAAAAATGTCTGTTACCTTAACGGCAAGAAGGTCCTAACTGACTTTGGTGAGAACAGGTTCAGCGGCACAGAATGTAGAACCAGACAGAATGTGCTGGGCATAAAGGGGAAGGTAAGAGCCTGGGGCTGCAGCTAACTTGCAGGGAGCTCTGCTGTGAAGGGTGGGGGAGCCCACAGCCAGGTAAGCTGCGGAGTCCAGGGATGTTTGTTTTGGGTTCATTTGCTTCTTTTTAAAATTCAAAAAAAGGGGAGGGGGGAGATTGCTTGAGAGAGAGAGAAATTACTGTTACAGGAGAGAGAAGGGGTAAGCAATTCGCGAGAAGGCAGAGAGAGAGAACCTTCTGTGTGGAACAAAGGTTGAGGAGGAGGGAAATCTCCTCCTTGGAAACAGAAGGAAAGAAGGGAAGGATTGCTGCTGAGGAAGTTACAGGGGTGACCACAGGATTCTAACCGATTGCTTCTACTTCCTTTGTGGAGTTGTGGTTAAGAGTCTCTGCTCTGAGACAGGAGGGTACAGGGTGGAAGAGAGGAGAGAGGAGAAGCCATCGTGGAATAGGAGTGAACCGAAGGGAGGAACAGTGAGATCGGGGGTTGGGGCTGGGCCCCTCCTGGAGCCTGGCAGCTCTGCACCCACGGGGTCATCTGCTCACGAGTGATGTTTTCTGAGAGTGCTGGGCCACTCAGGGCAAGGGGCGTTTTAGGGGTAGGGCCTGATTTCCACGTAGGCAAAGAGGTTGAGGGAACTTTCAGTGAAGTTGTAAGGAAAACATTATAGAGCCACAAGAGAGCCCAAATGTTCCTGTGTGTGAAAGAGATGGTCGTGGCGATTCTCTCCGCCCTCTATCCCGCAGCGCAGGAGTAGCTGTCAACTTTGAGCAGCTGCTGACACCTGTGAAGCCCACTCCTGGGAGCAGTGCCACCTTATACTTGTCTACCTTGTGGACCTTCCTTGTACACTGTCAGGTACAGGCATGGTGCAGAAAATGCATAAGCTATGCCACATGAACACACACGTCTCCGTGGCAGAGAAGCTGTGGAACCAGATCTCTAGCACTTAAGAATAACTGAGACAGTGTGGAAGTCCAGTGATCTCATCACAAGAAACACCTTAAATAAACTCGGTGTCATCACTATTACAAAGCGCAAAAGAGCTCTTCTTGGCTGATGATTAAGCAGAAGTGCTCATCTGCAATCCACAGAAACTTAGTAAGAAATTGGGCAACATCTGACACAAATCTCTTATCTTACTAGAGTGCGCATATGTTTTTCTTTCTTATAATATGGTAATGTCTTATTAAGTCCGTTTTAATAGAGCCTCAAGTTCTTACTCAGAGTATTTAGCACCTTATTAACATAATAAGCAAGGCCTTCCCCTTCCTATCATGTCAACAGAACCAAAAGTATGTTTCCTGCTCACTTCCCCAGATATCATGGTATATTGCTGGATATTTGGAACTAGAAAAGTACAGAGATTAATTTGAAATTCTTTTATATAATTCCACCAGGTAAGTACAGTACCAAAGCCTATTTATTTCAAAGAGATGTTTATGCTTAGATTTTGCCTATGTTCCTATGACCTTTATTATTTTTCTTTTTTAAAAAATTTATTTATTAACTTTATTGGGGTGACAATGGTTAATATGAACATATAGGTTTCAGGTATGGGCTTCTGTGTTACAAGATCTGTATATTGCTCTGTGTGCCCACCACCCAGTCAGATCTTCTCCCATCACCATATATTAGGACCCTCTTCACCCCCACCCCCTTCCCTCTGGCAATCACCACACTGCTGTTTGTGTCCACAAGTCTGACATTTATTTTTACAATGTGCTATTTTTTTTACTCAGCCACTAAGCTAAATATGGCATATATTTTGCTATATAGCATGTGTTTCTTCTCTCTCACATTTGTAGTCTTGTTTTGAATATACATGATACTTGCTGGTCCTTCTGCAAAGAATGGGATTTCTTTGGGATTGGGTGCTAAATTCCAGGTTTCAAGCTTTAAAAATCCTGGACTTTAAGCAGAAATGTATGTTATCCAAAATAAAGTGTTTTCCGATCATAACAAAGACTTTGCAATAGGAAACAGAGACTTACAGAAGCTCACTAACTTCTTTGTGCCCATCCTTTCATGCAATTTCTCAGACACAGGTCTCTAAGTGGTTTTGATCTTAAAGTGAAAAGAAAAAGACAATTGAATTAGGACTACTATCATTCAAGTCGTTCTGTAAGGAACAAGTCTAAATTTATAAATTTTTTTCTTTCAATATTTATAGAGAAACTGATTATTTGTTGAAAATCACTCTCAGTGTTTTTAGTTGAAACATGTTACTAGACTGAAAATATTTTTGTGATTGTTTAAATTTAGACACCTCAGAGATTACTTCATCAAAGAGCTGTTGACCAAATGGGAAATTTAATGAGGTTTCCACTGAGAATGCACAATCACAATGGATCATAACAGAGTGATATATAACAATAACCTAACATTTTACTAACACACAGGTCCTTGTCATCAAAGTGCTATAGTTTAATGGACACAAAGACTCCCTAGACGCTTTACTGTTTCTCAAAAGTGATGAAATCTTGGTGGAGGACAACTACAAAGCAAACGTGGTAAATGTAATTAGTGTTTATATTTAGCAGTGAGATACTTTTTTTCAGCAGCGCATGATCAGCAGTCAAACTCACTTTTGTTGTAGCCCTGTCTCATTCAAGGATATGATGCCTGCCTCTTGCAAACTCTGCGTCGTAGCACTCGACGTCTTCCTGCCACTTTTCCTCCTCTAGTCAGCTTCCTTTCTTATACTGGGCCCCTCACGGCTGTGAAAACAACATGCTCTTTTACCTACCCAGGCCCTGATCTTTCCTGCCTCCACTTCTCATAATACGCCATCCCTTTTGATACTTTTATTTGTGCCCATCAATGTTCCTATTCACAATTTGACATAGGTTTTTTTTTTTTTAAATAAACAACAACAAAGAAATGTACACAACTTTCACAATTAATTCCATGTGGCCCTTCAAACCTCTATTTACCTCTGATTTCTCTTTGTGGGAAATTGGGAGTAATAAGCTATGTTGCTATGTTTTATCTTTAAGACTCTGGTCAATCCATTTTGGCTCATGCTGTCTCTAGTTTGAGAATAATGCTTATGTTACTTATTTTCCTAGTCGACTTGTTATCATGATTAAATAAGGTAATGTATATAAAGTATTTAGAACAGGGCTGGTACATGGTAAAGAATAAATGTTATCATACTAAAGCAAATATTTACATTTTCTCTACATACTAAGTGGTTGAAACTTTTCTAAGTCCTTTCTTTTGCTCAGTTAGCCAGGAATGATGCCTCTTTCAGGAGGGACTTACAGAAACCTCTAGTCCTAAGAGACCTATGTCCCTTATCGGTTAGACTGTCTTAAGTAAAATGAGTTTCTTCTCATTCTTGGGCTACTTGAATTTTCATATCTTTTAAGATATTAGATGTCGTCAAATAGTTGGTGGCTGTTCATTTTAGCCCCAATACTAACAAGGACGTAACCCATTGTTGGCACTTAGGACAGTGCCTGGCATGCAGGAAGCACTCAGTAGATTTTTTTGTTATCATCGTGGTCCTGGTCCTGTTGTTATGAGTGCCCAGGGTTTCCCTCTCCTTTCTTTCTCTTCACCTAAACCCAGTGATTAAATTGCATTTTAAAACAATGTCCAAATGTCCTTTACGACATTTCAGAGTATATTCATTAATTAAAAAACAAGTCGTGTTTTAAAAATGCAAAACTTTGTTCTACAGTTAAAGTATTCAGTGTAAAACTTTACTTTCTGAGTTTCCACAGATACTCTGCCCTTTAAAAAAAGGCAGTTTCAACAAGCCAAGGTCTTGAAACTTAAAAAGTAAAACGAAAACGTTTAAAAAACAAGCCCTTGGGGCCAAAAGAAGTCTCCAAAGATATTTCCTTGAGCTTCTCTCCTTTGGGAAAGTTCCTCCTCACTTGCCAACACCAGCGCTCGGTCAGCTCTGAGTCCCAGGTTCCGAACGACGGCTGCGGCGGCGCCTCCGAGCCCCG